CAAATAAACGAGTAAATATAAAAAATTGGTAGGATGATAGGAAATGACATTTGATATTCAGGTGATGTGAGGAAAAGATTAGAAAGTATGAATTTAAAAAAAGTGGATAAAAATCAATAATACAGTATTGGAAAAAGGTTATCTTAGCCCAAAAACCCACAAGAATGATCACAAAATGTTTTCATTAAAAATTAGAGCAGAGGAAAAAAAGTACTCTCGATTTCTCGAACTTTGTTTTATTTTTACTGTGTGAAAGAGCAAGAAGCTTGCAGTAAAAACGAAGATAATCGTCTTCGAACAATGTCGAAATTTTCTAGATGCTCTGGAGCAAAACAGTTCTACCTAACTAATAACTAATCATTTTTTAAACTTCCACAAAATAAACTAATTTGATATATTATTTTTTTTTAAACTTAGTTTATATCACCAATAAATGATAGATGCTTTAAATTTACTTCATGATAAATATTAAGATCGTAGTTTAAAATATATATTTATTGCGACCACTTTTGTTTATACATTGTTACAAGAAAAATACAAAATTGCTCGTGTAATAAGAAATGGACTGGATTAAAACAACAGTAACATGTATGTATGTATATATATATATATAATCAAAATAACTAGATGAATTATTCTTCCAACCTGAATATATCAATACCATCAATCAAAATGTCGGAAGTTCGAATCCACACCTCATATTATTGTTGAACTAAAAGATGGTTATAATCCCGCCTTAATATTTATAATATTATAATCTTAAAAAATGCTTCATTTTGATGGTCGGTCTCATCTTAGTAAAATTACCTAAAATTATTAAAGTTACAACAAACATTTTTTTCCTTATGCCAATTAACTAGCATTGAAAAGAAAAGAAAAAAAAGGTAAGAGTAAATTGGTAAAATGAGATCTTCCATGGTTCTCGAAACACACCACTTACATTGAAAAAATTACCAGCATGTTGAACCGTCTATTTTACCTTTCTCGTGTCATTGAAACAGAGATACTTGAATATGTTGACCTAAGTATTAGATAAATGGTATATAAATATAATTTATAGTTTCTTTTATAAACAAAATATAATTTATGGTTGATGACATAATATTTTGTTCTTTTATTTTTCTGAATTTAGATATAAATGTTAGGTTAAAATACTATTTTGGTCATTACTTTCAGACTTAGTTCATTTTAGTATCCGTACTTTTAAATTAATATTTATTTTGGTCACTGTACTTTTAAAAAACGATCATTTTAGTCATTATTTGCAAAATTTTAACACAAATTTTATACATAACATAAACTCTATAGTATAAAATAATGTTGACCTTTCAAGAAATATATTGATTTTAGTGTCATCTTGAAATTGTGATAGAAAAAATAGATAAAGAATAAAATTAAGGGATCGAATTAATGGTCACTTTTTAAAAGTAGAGGGACCAAAATGAATGTTTCGAAAGTACACGTACTAAAATGAACACAAAAAGTACAGGGATCAAAACGAACATGTTGAAAATACAGGCTCATACAATTATTTTAACCTAAATGCAACCACTCATTTTATTATGGCATTTTTGTAACAACCAACTGTTACATATCTCAACCAATATCATGATCCTGTACAGTTTGTAAATTTTTATGCAATTCTAGCATCCTATTGACTACAAAAGAACATAAAAACATCATAAAGAATATGAGAGTATTGTTAGACTTTAAATATAAGATATTTTGATGGGGAAATATAGCCACTATACTAAAGTGGGTACGCTTAAGATAAGAAAGAAGAAGGGAAAAAGGAAAAGATAAAACCAGTCAGCAGTCCAATCAATGCAACATAACATAAAATTAGTATATTTTTTGCCACGTAATTTAACATTACCACGTAATCATATTCCAATAAGTGTCAATTTTAAAACTTCAAGGACTAAATAAATACATACTTCAAATTTGAGAGACCAAAAGTATATTTTTCTCTTTTTTGTTTCTTTTTAAAGTAACGTAGTCGTCTCTTTAATGGGATGTATGTAGGTCCCCTCTAGATATTGCTTAAGCATTATTTTTGGATTTTATATTATTTTAAAATAAGTTTTAAAATAGTAGTTAAAAAAAGGCCTCTATTTTGGACACAAACATTATTCTTTATTACATGTTATTAAGTGAATATTATATATATATATATATATATATATATATATATATTTTTAGAGATATATATGAGAATGTTGGATAATATTATATTTAATTATTTATGAAAATCGTTTAGAAAATTATACATAGAAATAACATGAAATATTTTGGAGAGTATAGGACAAATATGACTTCTATCTAACTTAAATAGTTGGCAAAATACATTTTTTTAATGACACAAATATGAGGGTGTGAAAATTCTTACCCCCAAAGAAAATGTGCATGAAATGCCTTAATCGTTTAGTTAGGTTCCTAGTGAGGAAGAAAAAAGTATAATTTAATAAGAGACTAGAAAACTGAAATGTCTTTATGGGATAAAAAAAGTTAACAAGTGTGTTTATAATATAGTTTATTGAGTAATTTTATATTGTATATTTGGGAAGATTTGTAGTGTACTGAATGTGGAGAATTGAAAAATATGTGACTTCTGTAAAAAAATTAAAAAAAAAAAAAACAGAAGCCTTCTCCCAACTCCGAACGTTTCCAATAAATTCATCTGGATATATCTTTCTTTAATTATTATTATTATTATGTTACAAAATTATATATCTAGTCTTTTTTCGACTTGGTAAGAAGTTTCAATTTACAGTAATTTTCATTCTCTGCATATATAACTAAAATATCAAATTTCTGTTTCTAATTTATTCTAACATAAAATTTTGTTTTATCATGTAATTATATTTTTATTTATTAGAAATGTGGAAAAACAAAACGAAAAACGATAACGTTACAATTCTTCGATTTTTCGAGACCCACCTTCTATTAATAACTTTGGGAATGCCATAAAGATTATCACTTGGATAAGATCAATTCTTTTTTTAATTTC